TTCTGGGCCGGCTTTAAATTTCAATGTACAGGAGGAGGATGATTTCGGTGCACTTTACATTGTACGTACAGGACTTTCAGAGTAGCCTAGATCTGCACCGCTATATCGGTGTTGCGCGGGGTGCAATGCACTGCATCAACATATAGATATCGATAGCCTGGCTAGCACTTGACTTGATAAAGCTTAAGTTAGTCGGGGTCAGGGCTTCAAACTTGCAATATCGATGTGAATCCGCATCTTTTGGATTCAGGCTTGCGACGCTTTACCCTGGAGCTCCAAATATTTCATATTTAATTAGGTCCTCTATATATATATATACATATATATATATATAGAGACTTTATAAGGCCCCAAATATAGGTACCGCATTTGCATATTTGGAGCCCTTGGGTTGCAGCTTGCAGCAGTGGCATCCGAGCATAAGTTTGAAGGCCTTTCGGTTATTTAACCATAAATCCATATAGTCGGGGACCCCCAAACCTCAAGACCTTCGAACCTGGGTTTTAGGGCATCCTATCCTACATATATATGTTCAGATTTCTTGCTTGGCTTTGCCTGGCCTAGATCTAGATATGTATTCCCTATAAACCCTGGTAAGGCCATAAATCCACAGTCGGGGTCCCCCAAACCTGAAGCTTTCGAAACTTGGTTTTTAGAGCATCCTATGTACCACATTTTTTTAGATTCATGCACAGCTTTGCCTGGCCTAGATCTAGATGTCTATGTATTCCCTATAAACCCTGATAAGGCCTCATAAACCCTAATAATCCCTAACAATACATTGCTGGATCCTCCACATATATATCCAGACATTTCAGTTCTGCCCATGTGTACTTCCACTGGGATATCCTTGCTGCAAACCTAGTTCTGAAGTCCACTCCCTAACTCTATCCCCTCGACAGCGGTTTGGAATGGCTTTTTTCTTCGACATCGCTGAGCTCCGGATGGTCTTGACACACGGGTGAGGCCGGGGAGCACAGCAGTGAAGATGAGCATACTTTAGTAAATACATACATACATACATAAAAACTGGCTTTCGAATGGAAGGTGGTTTCATCGTGGCACCACATGGCTGCTGCATGGCCGTGCTGCCCTGAGCAACATGAGTATCTTGCACACACGCATCGGTCTTTCGACTAGGACCCGGTGATGATCATGATCTACATGTCAACATGGAAAAGGCGGCTTCTTTCAGCTCGAGGCTTATTTTTTCGAAATTCCCTGGAGCCTTTTTGAATATGTTGATGTTGAAATCACGGATGTGAGGCCGGTTTGGAAATCTCTTGGCTCCACGCCGTGATCGATCACGGGATCGATCACGGTCGAGATCACGGCGCAGAAGGCAAGTTAACATGTTATCTATAGCAAACAATCATACGAAAGCTTTGCCACAGGACACCAGTGGTCAGCACTGCAACCACTCCGGGTGCAAGTGCATCAAGGCGGGGGGGGGGGGGTCGGCTATATTCGTTCTGAGATTTATTCATTTCGATTCGGGAGGCTTGCAGCTGACGAAGCTGCAGGAGGTGTGCCCCTTCCCACTGCTACGCTTCACATTCTGCATGTGTGCTGTGCACATACATGCGAGCTTTGTGGCACATCCGGAACACATGGCGCTTGCATTCAACGAAGCTTTTATCTGCTTAAAGCAGCAGGGAAACAAGGGCTCCCGAGTCTTTATATACCATGAGCTGTGCTGCTAGAGCTGTGGAAGCACCACTGGTGGAAGCTACAACTGTGACCCGACATGCAATGCATTACATCCTTGGGATCTAGACTGAAGCTTAAGATTGCACCCCTGCTGGGATTCGTGCTCAGGATACTGGTGTGATCCTGCAAGACTCTTGGCAGTCAAAGTCTATACTGGAGGACCCTTGGTTAAAACTTTGACTAGATAGACTGATTTTGTGTGTGACTGCTGTATCACTATACTGTAACATATGGAAGCTGAAGGTGCTTATCATGGAGTATCTGGATGACAATGCCATCAAGAGGCTTCGTGATTCAGAGGCCGATGGGGACTGACAGCTATGTAAGTGAACATGTACATAACTAATAGTTTTGATTTAATTTGGTCCAGTTTTCAGAATTTGGAGTAGTCGCATGTTTAAAGCATAGGTCATCGAAAAGTCGTCGACGTCGGTCACCACAGTAGTTTATTATCTTATAGATCATGATATATATATATGTATATATGTACGTATGTATATATATATATGTATATGTATATATATATATATCCTTAGATTGTTTGTCAAATTAAACAGCTTTCCTGTGAAATCCCATTTGATGTAGCTCCTGGGTTAACCGTTCAACTTTAACTCTGAAGCATTGCAGGACAAGCGGGTGTTTGAGATTCACCCCGACGGGCTGCAGAGTGCTGGTTCCGTTTCTCGACATATATTCAAGTTGATGTTGCAGTGCAATTCGAATTCCAGAGCTGCAACTTAGCAATAAAAGGTCGAAGCCAACTATGACTTTCTCCTGAATTTCTATGCTTCTTTCGGGGGAGTTGGGCTGCCGTCGTCACGTCTCTGGAAGGACGTGGAGTATACCTATCGGAAGATATAAAATTTAATCTGCTTGTCATCTGCAGGAGGTCTTTCGAGGCATCGCTTTTCGGTACGGCCTGTTTCCACCCAAAACGACGAAGCGCGTGATCAAGGCCGGGTTTGCATTGCTGATGGTTAACACACACACACACCTACATAAATAAGAATCTGTATATATATATATAGATACATATGTATATTTATATATACAAATAAAACACACAAAGCAAGTAGCTAACATCGTGGACACATAACATCTATATGTGCAAGAGGCATCGATGAGCTGTACATTCACATGCACAGCAGCAGTTGTCGCGTGAACCCATGTTCATAAAAGCTGCAGCTAGCTAGGTAGGGCATATGCAACCCATACACAACCCTTGAAAGAGGCAGGTGTCTCTCAAGCCTTGCCTTTCATTCAGGGGTTTAGGGTATTTGATGTTTCGGGAGATGGATCGGGCTTTAGTGTGTTCAGGGGTGTGGGGCTTCATAGGCTAATTTTAAATAACTTGGGGCCTTTGGGAGTCTTCGAAGTTCAGGTTAGCAAAGAATCAATCCCCAGGATATCCTTGCACTTGAAATTTAAAGCTTCCAGGAATCGAAGTCTACCCAACATTTAAATTCGAGTAGTAAAAACCCAGGCCTCATACATACCCTATAACATTACACCCTTAGACAAACCTCAACTACACCCTCAAAGGCTTTAGTGTGTTCAGGGGTGTGGGGCTTCCTAGGCTAAATAGCTTGGGGCCTTTGGGATGTGAGAGTCTTCGATTCAGGTTAGCAAAGAATCAATCCCTAGGATATCCTAGCACTTGAAATAAAAAGCTTCCAGGAATCGAAGTCTACCCAATTTTTCAAACTCAAGCTTAAGTAGTAAAGCCCAACGCCTCATACATATATACCCTAATAACATTACACCCTTATAAATTAAACCTCAACAGGAGTGGGCTGGCTTGACTGGTGGAGCTGGAAGGGCAATTGCTGCCCATGGGTTCACCCTCAGCACCCGGTCGGAGAACTCCAGGCCTGCACATGCTGGAGTGAGGGAGAAGCTTCACATGTATTTTTAGTGCAGCTTGCATGCCTATATAGGAGCACGAAGATCGCCAAGCTCAAATATGTGATCCGGCGTGCATCTGAAGGCCAGTTGCTGTGCAATACATCATGGTATCATGTGATGCTCTGAGATATCTGCCCTGGTTGCAGAGTGCAAGCCCGGAGGTGTTGCACAGCATGTGATGACGACTGTATATGCGCCGGATGATGATGAGGCTAGCCAGCAAATGCAAATCGATAGGGAATGTCCCTAAGCCCTTCAATTAAATCTACCATGCCAATGCCCCTCTCCAGCCCAGGCTTCGCTCAGTTCCGGGGCCTCCTCCGCATCGTTGCCATCGCATCCATCACCCCGCAAGGCCTGCAACACTATATACTTGCACTGGGGTGTCGAGGGATACTTATTATATTCAAGCTTGTTGGGAAATTCCTGCCGTTGGTTAAATGGGACCTCCACTTGTTCAAATCTTAACTAGCTCGGTCTACAACATGACTTCAATATACTACCTTTGCATTGGGCCGAAGCCGGCTCGGATAGTCTTGACTGATGGTCCTCTCAAAACTCTAATTAACGAAACAGTATACATGTACATTTAATATTGCAGCAGATAGATAAACAAACAGGTTAAGGTTCAAGGTTCAGTATGGTATCAAAGTGCACATATGTACAAATCAAGTTTATAGAACATATAAGTCTATACATATGTATATACATATATATATATATGTGTGTGTGTGTACGAGGAAACTATTAGGCGCGGCTAGTTATATATGTACATGTTTACACACACATGTACATATATATATACATATATATATACATATATATATAATTAGTCTAAGTATTATAAATATATAACTGTAACATATGCTATGTGGGTAATTAAAGAATAATTATATAAGGAAGTGTGTAGCTGAGCATACATACACATAGCAAGCTACATGCATTCGTATATATGTGTGTGTGTGTTGTAAGACTAATGCATATATTCGATGTAATATTGTTAGCTTCACATTGCATGTACAGGACCACATGTTTGCGATCAACTCGATGAGTGCACCGATGGACAATATGGAGACCCAAGCCTGGGATCTAGGTTGCTTTGAAGGGCCAGTGCATCACGATGAATCTAGCCTGCAATGTGTGATGTTGAAACGTTAACCGAATACTCAACAGTTGCTGGGAGCCGTATAAGGATTCCAAGAACGATGCGGATGTTCTCCTCGCTGACTTGGACAAGGAGCTGGAGGCAGTAACTGGGCTTATGTACATATGTATATGTACACACATGTGTGTAAGATTCTGAAAACATTGCCAGCCCATTCATCGAGTGCACTGAGTTGATCGATCACCAGCAGTCGCTCGATTGCGGCCTCCATGAAAAGGAGGTTCGCAAGCAGGCCTCCCGGGACCACAAGCCTCTGCTTGTGGCCAGTGAAAGGCCAGTTGTCGACGAGGCTAAGATTGATGGCCTTCTCGAGAATACTGCAATGGAGAAGTCGACTGGTGATGACGACGACTTGCTTGCAGCCCAGGCGAAGGTAGGGGACTGACACACACACACACACACTCACACACACACATGATGTGCGTGTATGGTGCATCATATACTGAGTGTGAGCGTGCATGTATTCCTTCATTCTGCAGGTTCGCAAAGCTCAGAGGGATGTTGCTGCAGATGGTCCCCCATTGAAGCGATGCAAGACGAAGACTACCCCCAAGAGTAAGGCAAAAACAAAGCCGGGGAAGTCAAGCAAGAAGAATGATGGTGCCCCCGCGGGTGACGACCAGGTCAAGGAGAATGGTGGTGCCCCCACGGGTGACGACCAGGTCAAGGAGAATGGTGGTGCCCGCGCAGGCGACGACCAGGTCGTCGAGAATGGTGGTGCCGCTGCAGCAGACGACCAGGTCGAGAATGGTGGTGCCCCAGCAGTCGAGAATGGTGGTGCCGCAGCAGTCGAGAATGGTGGTGCCGCAGCAGTCGAGAATGGTGGNNAGAATGGTGGAGTGCCAGCAGACCAGCAGGTCATCGAGAATGGTGATGAGCCAGCTGTCGAGAATGGTGCTGTCCCCGCTGAGAATCCCGAGATGGAAGGGAATCCACTGGTGGAGGAGATGAATAAGCGACAGGTTCATGGATTCGGTAATGTAGCTGAGGCTGAGCTCATGGCACAGTGGCGGATGACAGCAGCTTGCCCTTAAACTGTATATCTCGGTAGACATACTTCTAATCTGCATCGTAACTCCATGCAGTTCTGATTCGAATAATTTTGAATAAAACATATGTGTGTGCGAGATGCTTCTCTCTCTCTCTCTCTATATA